TACGACGACGATGACCACTACTACTACCACTACCACTACCACTACCACTACCACTACTACTACTACTACTACTACTACTACTACTACTACTACTACTACTACTACTAGTAGTAGTAGTAGTAGTAGTAGTAGTAGTAGTAGTAGTAGTAGTAGTAGTAGTAGTAGTAGTACGGCGACGGCTACGGCTGCTACTACTACTGTTGCTCATGCTACTACTACTACAAATACTAATGCTACTGCTGAAGCTGATGCTACAAGCGTTACTACTACTGTGATGCTTCCCCTCCTCCTCATCCACCTCTTCCTCCTTTTCATCCTCGTCTTTCAACTACCCCCCTCCTCCTCATCCTTTTCCTCATCCTCTCCCTATTCCACCTCCGCTTTCTCCCCCTCCTGCTCTTCCTCCTCGGCGTCGCATTCACACGACGCCCCCGCTTCCCCTCTTCGTCCTCCCCGCTAATTCCTTTTCCGCTACCTCCTCGTCTTGTTCCAATTCAGCTTTTCGTCCTCAAAGTCTTCGTCATTTCAGAACCCTCCCCTCCTCCCTGGGTGGAGGACGAGACGGCGAAAAATAATGAGGACAACGCCGACGAAATACGAACCCGACTCAAGAACTTCGAGCAAGGGGAAGGGAAGGGCGAGAACACGAGGACGAATGACGGAAACGGGACCGAGAAAAACGGCGCCGTGAACGGCGACAACGCCGTCGTCGACGCCCACGGCGGCGGCGGCGACGACTGCGGCAACGATACGGGGCCGAGAAAAACGGCGCCGTGGACAGCGACGACGCCGACTTGGACGCCCATGGCGGCGGCGGCAACGATTTCGACGCGGACTTGAGGAACGAAACTATTCCATATACCGATACCGCTACTCCCCAAACCTCTCCTGGGGCGCGTTCTGACTGGGACATCGAAGCGGATGCGGCCGTGGCGACGAAGCTGTGTGGTACAGTCGGACCCAGGCCAGAAAAAATCCCTCACGAACATGAGACCCTCCGTCGGCCAAATGAAGCAGAACATCCAAGGGTACCCTCCCCAGGATGCACAAGAACATCCGACTAACACGAAGAACATTAGGGCACCCTCCCCGAACCAACCTCGATCTTCTGCCTCGGTCTCGCTGTATCTTTGCTTTCTCCGAACGACGACAACGGCCACGGCGGCGAAACGCTCCTGGAGGCCGCCGCGCGGCCGCAGGCGCGCAGCGCCGAAGTCGATGGCGACGAGGCGGGCGCGCCCGCCGCTGGGCGGCCGGGCGACCTGGGGGGGGCGAGGTGACGGCGTCGTTCCTCGCCGTCGGGGGCGGGGGCACAGGGGGGGGGGCGGCAAGGAGAAACTGGAGGAGGAGGAGGAGGAGGAGGAGGAGGAGGAGAAGGAGGAAACGGAGGAGGAACACGAGGGAGAGGAGGGGGGAAAAAAGGAGGAGCAGGACGATTCTCGGATTCTCGGCTGGCCACGCGCTCGCCCCGAATGGGCGTGGTATGTATCCAGGCAGTGGGGAGCAGGCGGCCACATACGACGGCAACGACGGCGACGACGAACGACGACGGCGAAAAAAACGACGACGACAAACGAACGAGCGCAGCAACGCGAGCGACAGCGAGGACGACGGCGGCGGCAGCCACACGGTCACTGACGTAATCGGGCCCTATCGCCAGGCAGCCGAGGCGGACGCTCAGCCCATCCGAAATCTTCAGGTTCGGCGGAGGCGGTGCGCAGCCTCTTCGCGTTCGCGCCGCGTGTGCCGTGCATTTCAAGCAACAGCACATGGGTCGGCCGCAAGCGAGGAGCCCCTGTCCCTGCCGTGTTTCGTGCCCTTGCCGGGGCGCAGAAAATCAGCACCAGAACTGCAGCATTTGCCAATGAATTTCGGCCAACGACCAAATTGTCGGCAATTGGCGAAGAGCCCTCGTCTTCGTGCTTGCCCTTTCCCATGCCCTTGCTAGGGCTGCGAGGGCCCAGGGAAGCAGCGTCAACACCAGAAGGATTGACAGGTTGAGTAGCAACGAAAAGGGCCCGACGTCCATTTCCCTGCGGCATACCGCGAGACTGGAACCTCCTCTCCTCGACCTAGCCCAGCGCCGCCAGGCGCGGCAGCGCCAGGCAGCTGATCCTCGTTACGCCGAGCGTCATCAGCACGATGCGCATCGGGAGCAACTCGAGATGAACCACCAAGGAGGTCACAAGCTTGCAGCGCCAGGCGAAATGCCGCACCAAACCAAGCCGCGTAGCGCGCAGCCGCGGTGACCCAGACTGCGGAACGTCAGCAACAACGCCTGCGCAGAGCGCGTCTGCGCGCGAAATGTTTGGGTCTGGCGCTTTGCTGCGGTACGGCGAAGGCGAGACCAGGAAGAGGTGGATAAGGATAACCACAATAAACACAAAACGGGCGCACCATGTTGCAATAAACGATCCCTTCAAACTCCTTCTGAACAAGGCCGTGCCTGAATGTATGTTTCATTGCGGGGCGTGCCTCGTTGAACGACAACCTTCTTAACATCCACCATCGCGCCAAAACATTATGTTTTGGACTTGGAGCCGGCTACAAACATCGTGACTGTTGCGCCCTGAAACCAGAAATCGTAAGAGAACGTCTTTCCCACAATTTCAACACCGCGGATCAACGTGACGGTTGCGTCCTGACAGCCCCAAACCGTGCCAAGTCATCATTCTTAGGAGTTAACAGTTAACTCAAGACTACAAATCTTGAAAACAACTGCAAGCGGTTAGGACGGATGCGCGCGGAACTACACCGAACACCACATATTGAAACAAAGAACCCCCCCCACCATTGTCTGCAAACTTTTTCAACGTACGAACAAACTCCGTATCGCACGCGACGCCAAAACGAAAACTACATATTGAAAACAACCCGCTTTCCATTTCGAAAACGGCTGAGAACTTTTACGACACATGTGCGCGGCGTTGGGGCGAAAACCACATGTTGGAAACCATCCGCCGCCCATCTATGAAGCTGCTGCAAGGTGCCAAGCAATGGACACATTTTGAAAACCGCCCGCCCACCATCCAAAAAACTGCTGCAAATTTTGAAGCCGAATGCGAGCGCCGCTGAAACTAGAATCACATTTTGAAGACTACCCGCTCTTTATCCTTGAAGCTCTCGCAAATCCAAATTTCAAGATCACAAGTGGCCAGGAAAACTCGGGCGAAACGCCAAGCCCTCCCTGCCGACACGTCTGGGGGTGCGACAAGGAGAGTTTTTTGTCCCACCCGACTTTCGAGCCATGGCTCGGGCCTCAGACGGCCGTTGGGGATGATCTGGGCGCCCAGGGAGACTTCCGACGAGGCGCAGCTGATGGACATTGTTTTTTTGCGCCGCAGCGCGGCAAAAGCAATCCGCGCGCGTGTTCGGGCAAGGCGGGCAATGGCATCGCGAAATGACCGGCAGCAAGATTGCGAACAAAAAGCGAGGGAACGGCCGACCGCGGGGGGGAGAGGACGGAAAGCGCTCACGCGGCGGGGCCAGCTGCGGACCGGCCAAGGCGCAGCCGGTGCTGCACCCGTGGCGGTGGGCGCGGGGCGGCGTCGCGGCCACGTCCAGGGGCTGGGACAGCGGCTGCCGTGCGCGAAAGGAAATGCAACTGGGAAGTGCGGGCCGAAGCATCAATGTCCGGGACCCCAAAACTACCCCCAAGCGGCCCCCACGAGGCCCCCGAACCCCCAAGGGATCAAGTGAACTCGCGAGTTTACTGATTCTAGACTTCGGTTTTCATAAAATCCGTGAACTCGGAAGTTCTTTGATCTTAACTTGGATTCCAGTCCAGCGGGGGTAAAATATGTACAAAATGCGGGCTCGGGCACGATATTCCAGAGCTCGACCTGCAGGCCTTCGCTGGATTGGCCGGCGGCCGGCCATGCCCAGCCGTCTGCGGAGGGTCAGCCACGTCCTTTTGGCGTTGTCCTTCTTACCCTCCGTCTTGGCACTGGCCCTCTCTTCACAGGCCTTCCTCGCCTCCCTCATCACTGAAGTCTCCTTCTGCAGCTCAGCCGACGCCCAGCCCTGCCGCACTGGGCAGACCGCGACGTTGCCCCGAACACGGTCGAGGCCCATGCACAAGAGGGCGTCCTGCGCGGTTTCGCCGCCTCCCCGCAACATGCTTGGCATCCCATCGCGATGCCTGTCCTCGGCTGCCTGGTCTCTGCGCCCGAGACATGATCTCTGCGCCCGCGATGTCGGAGATACTTAATTAGTCGAGCTGGCCATGTTCTCCAACATCTGGCAACACATGAAACCGTTCTCGACTCCCCCATCGTTGGCCTGCATCTTCGCGCCAACTTTCCAACTTGCATGTCTGCCCAACGGGGTCTGAAGGTTGGCGACCGTGAAGCGGCAGAACCAAAGCGTTGTTCGAGGCCCTCGGACAGGGAAATCGTTGAGCGGCGTCTCTACCATCCTTTCGACGGCCAACCGGAACTCGCGGAACCAGAAGCCGGGGGCGTCGTGCTGGATGGGCCGGACACGGATGTCGATCCGACGAGGCAGCCACCGCGGCCGGGGCGGCGCCGCTGGGTACGCCACCCAACGCGAGCACTCCACCCGCGACCACCACGAGCGGCGCCACAATGCCAGGCGGCGGGGCGCCTGCCGCTGCGCCCGGTTCGGCAGCGGCTGCGGCGGCCCCCGCCACGGGGCCAGCCCCTGCCGCGCTGGCTGCGCCGCCTGGGGCCCGCCCAAGCGCAGCGGCCAGCGCGCCGACGCCTCCACCGACGCCTGGCACCCCACTGGCCCCAGGCAGGCCTGGGCCGCCTACGCTAGCAGCGGGCGCCGCCACCATGGCCCGCCCACCCGGATTGGGTTGCCAGCCATCGGCGGGTACGGGCAAGCCTCTTCGAGCCGCAGCTACTGTGGACGCGGCCTGAAAGACCTCCAGGGTCGGTGCGTTCTGGCACCTGTAGAATGGCAGCACGGCGCCGTTGGGACCAGGCGGGGGGGCTCCACCACAGGCCCGTCCATTCATCAAGCCGAACCAAGCGAAGTCGAGCCCAGGCAACCCATCCTCATCGAAATTGACCCCGTCGGGGGTGCGCACACTGATGGTGAAGCCCGCCCCCTGCTGAATGAGAACGAACCGTTCGTAGCATATGGGCGGCCCTGGCGCGTTATACGTAACGAACAGCACCATATTCACCCGCTTGAGTTCCGAGCAGCTTCAGCCATCACGTTAGCTGACACGCCACTGTCTGAGCAGGGCCAGGCACTCCTGAGCTAGCTACGCCACGTCCACCTCCTTGTCGCGGACCTGCGAGGGGCTGCACAGCGCAGGTGGCGACTAGTCCGGCCTCGGTGTGGCCGAAACCCGACACCCCCAGACAGCCACAATCGCCGCCGGGAGGCAGCAGAAGCTGGCCAGGCCCAACAGGCAGGCGACGATCAGCACCGAACTCCAATCGAATGCGCCGTCTGGGCCGATGGCCTCTCGTTCGAGAGCCGCCAGCGCCGGTGCGCCCAGGCACGCCAGGCAGGCGGGCAACGCCAATCGCAGGGCACTGCAGACATTGACGACAAGAGGGGGTCCTGGGGCAGGAGGCAAGATATGTGAATGAAGTCTCTCTCCCACACCCACTCGGTTGCCTGAACTCACATCAGAACACAACTGGGCAGCCTCGGATAAGCTTGAACCGCAACGTTTTGCGGCCCCGCTCACGCATGTACCAATTCCAACCATACATCCCAAACATCACGTACACATGGGGTCTCAGCAATTCGCCGGCCCAACGGGCCAGGGCGTGCTAAGATCTCCGGTAACAGGTAAACAGTATTTCTAGTTCGCGCGCGTAGGGCGGCCCCTGGGGGTCCCCGAGCGAAAAGTACCCCGGGCGATCCCCGGCAGATCCCCGGCAGACTAGGGGTCAGAGATGCCGGAATTCTGTTTCGGAGCCCAAGAGGGCTCCAGATCGCCCCAAGAGGGCCCCAAGAGGCCCCAAACATGGTCCAAGAGGGGCCCCAGACGCCCGAAGATCGCTCCACGACGCCCAAGATGGCCTCCAGACGGCCCAAGAGGCCTCCAAGATGGCCCAAGAAGCATCTAAGAGGCCTCCAAAAAGGGCCCCAAGAAGCAAACATCGTTGATTTTCCATTGGTTTTTGAAGGTTTTTGGCGTTCTCGCATTTTCAGCTTCCGACGCTCCAAGACGCCCCAAGAGGCCCCCAAGACCGCCCCAAGACGGCCCGAGAGGTCTCCAAGAGGGCCCCCAAACGGCCCAAGATGGCCCCAAGACTGTCCAAGAGGCCTCCAAGACGGCCCAATACACCCCCAAGACGGCTCCAAGAGAGGGCACAGACGGGGGACCCGAACGGGCATTTCGACATCTTTGCCCGAAGAGGCCCCCAGGAGGCCCCAAGAGGCCCCAGGAGGCCCCAAAAACACCTCCAACAGGCCCCCGAGAGGCCGCCCAAGAGACCCCACGAAGCCTCCCAAAGAGGCGTTTTGTCCACGACCAGGGTTGGCCCCAAAAATACTCCAAGAAGCCATCGAGAGACCGCCTCCTCGTCCTCATCCTCCCCTCTTCATCCTCCTCCTCCTCCCCCTCCTCCAACTTCTTCTCGCTCGCCACGAACACACAAACATATAGCACCAGCGATACAATGTGGGCCGGCGGAATGAGCGAAGCGATTAAATAGCAAAAGCAAACACACAAGCAGCAGCAGCAGCAACAACAGCAACAACAACATCATCAACAACAACACCAACACCAACAACAACACCAACACACACACACACACACTACAACAACCACCACCACCACCACCACCACAACAACAACAACAACAACAACACCCAACCCCAACACTAACAACAGCATCACGGACAACAACAACAACCACAACAACAATAACACCAGCACCAACAACAACGACAACGAGCGCAACAACTACAACAACACCAGCCTCAACAGCAGCAGGAACAACATCACCACCACCAACAACAATAATCTTACGACTGACCGCTCTCATTTGCTCGCGTGCCGTTCGACGCGTATCTGCCAAACCCTCTTATGGGTATCTCGTTCTTACCTGCTACGTGTAATTCGTGCAGTCCCGAAGGCAGGGGAAGAGGGGACGAATGGAAGGAAGGGACAAAGGGGAGGGAAGAGGGTGAAACACGAGAGAGTAGCAGGAGGGGGGCTAGGAACATAAGCACGTGGCAGAACCACATGGGCAAATCGGGCGGGTGGACCCTAACGGGCGGGTCGGGAAGGCAGGCCCAGGCGGCCAGGTCGAGCATGCGGGTTGCTGAAGCGTGCGTCCTCCATGAATCGCGAGGAAGTCTCGGACGATCACGCAATTCCCAAATAAGTCGTGAGAAGTCCACAGCGAGGGCGTGACTCCTGACTGCCGATGGCGCGGCGTCTGAATAAACTGCGGAAGTCCCACGCGAGAGCGCGATTCCTGTAGAAATTGTGACGTCACGCGCGAGAACGCGCGTGAATACATGGTGAGGAAGTTTCAGGCAGGAGCCGCTGTTGTTGTCAACCGGGGGCCAGGAGCACAGTTCGGTGAAACCTCACGTTCCCTTGTGAAAGATAGGTGGCGGGCCCCGGGAGAAGCATTGAACGTGAAACAAATGCAATGGTTACCGGGCAGGTGAGATCAACAAACAAATCTTTGGACATGAAAACTCAACAACACCATCAAAAATCACTTGAATATTGTTCCTGCTCGAATGTAATTGAACGTGTACTTCCCAAACTCTCGATACCCGCCCTCTTCGTCTTCGATCGTACCCCTTTTGGGGGGTATTTATTTCTTCCCTGCTGGCCGGGCCCCGGCCAAGCGGCGGGGCGGCCGCGGACCCTCGGCCTGGCCAGCGGCAGCGCTGATCGGCGGCAGCCCGACCCCACGACGGACGGACAGGGGACCGAACACGCCGACGACGACGACGACGACGACGACGACGGCGGGGACGACGACGACGACGAGGACAAGCGAAAGCGAGAGCGAGAGCGGCAGCGGGGCCACGAATGGCAGGACGAGGGCCAAGAAGGGCGACAGCGGGGCCACGAAGGGCGCGTAAGGGGCCACGAACGGCGCGAACGAGCGGGAGCCAGATAATGCGGGGCCACAGAGGGCAACGACGGGGCCACTGAGGGTAGCAGCGGGGCCACGTAGGACAGCGAGGGGGCCACAAAGGGCGACAGCGGGGCCACGAAGGGCATGCATATGGGGCCACGACGGGCGCGGACGAGCGGGAGCCACGAGGGGCGTGCGTATATTGGGCCGCGGAGGGCAAGGACGGGGTCACTGAGGGCAGCAACGGGGCCACGAAGGGGAGCGAGGGGCCACGACGGGCGACATCGGTGCCACGAAACGCATGCAGATGGGGGGCCACGGCGGGCGCAGACGAGCGGGGGCCACGAAGGGTATACATATATGGGGCCACGAAGGGCAGCGAGAGGGCCTCGAAAGGCTGCAACGGGGCTACAAAGGGCAACGAGGGGGCCACGAAGGGCTGCAACGGGGCCACGGAGGGCAGCGATGGGGGCTACGAAGGGCTGCGACGGGCTACGAAAGGGCAGCGATATCCCGATTCCCAAATAAGCAGCGAGGGAGTCCTAAGCGTGAGCGCGACTCATGAGTCCTTGAATGTCGGGAGCGCGGCGCTTAAGTAAATTGCGGGGAATTCCAACGCAAGAGCGCGACTCTTGAACAAGTGGCACACGTGCCCTGGCTCTTGCACCAAGGAGCTGCGAACGACACGAGGCTTTCGCCTCCTTCCTCCAGGAGTTCCCTTCCGTGGCCGGGCGGGGGGACGAACGGCGAACGACAAACGAACGACAAACGAACATAAAGAGGTCCGAGCTCAAGAACACAGCTGTGCAATCTGATAAGCATGTCCGAGCTCTAGAACACAACAGGCAAGTCCAGGGGGGCAAGGGAGAGGGCGAACGAGTGGGCCAGGGAGGCCAGGGGGGGAGAGCGAGGGGGGCTGGGTCCAGGGCAAGGGCAGGGGGGAGGGCTGGGCCCAGGGCCAGGCCAACGGGCCATGGAGGCTAGGGGGGTGCCAGGGAAACCAAGGGGGGAGAGCGAGGGGGGCTGGGCCCCAGGCAAAGGCATGGGGGGGTCGGGTCCAGGGTGAAGCCACGGAGGCCAGGGGGGGAGGACGAACCGCGAGCGAACGAACGACGACGACGAACGACGAACGAACGAACGACGACGACGAAAATAGGGAGGCCGGGTGGGGGGGCGGAGGGGGCACCGGGCGGGGGTTCCACTGGAGCGCGAGGGAACGCGCGGGGGGAGGGGGCGACGCGACGCACAATAAAGCCGCCGGGGCGGAGGGCGACGGTGGACGGGCGCTGGGGAGGAGGAAGCGACGCGACGCGGAATGCAATAGTCGGGGCGGAATGGGGACTGGGCCGCGGGAAAACGCCGGGGAAAAAGGGGGCGGCGGGGGCGCGGTGGGGAGGGTGCGACGCGAGGCGAAATAACACTGGCGGGGCGGAGGGGACACTGGGCGGGGTTTCGCTGGGGCGCCGGGGATCGTTGGGGAGGAGGGGGTGACGCGACGCGGAATAAAGTCGTCGGGGCTGAGGAGGCACTGTGCTGCTGGGGGACGCTGTGGAAGAGGTGGCGGGGGCGGGGAGGGGGGGCGCGACGCGAGGCGGAATGGTCGGAATGGAATGTGGTCGCGGCGGAGGGGGCACTGGGCTGCTGGGGGGCGTTTGGGGGGGGGGGCGGGGGCGGGGAAGAGGGGCGCGACGCGACGTACAATACAACTGTCGAGGCGGAACGGGCGCTGGGCGGAGGCTCCACTGGGCCTCTGGGGCATGCTGGGGGGAGGAAGGGGGGGTGCGGCGCGACGCGGAATACAACAGTCGGGGCGGAGGGGATGCTGGGCGGGGGTTCCACTGGGGCGCGGGGGATCGCTGGGAGGGAGGGCGACGCGACGCGGCACGAAATGGTCGAAGCGGAGGGGGGAACTGGGTCGCTGGAAAACGCCAGGGAAGGGGCAGCGGGGGCGCGGAATAAAATGGTCGGGTTGGGAAGGGGGCGGGCGGGAGGGGGGGCGCAATGCGACGCGGCGTAGAACAATCGGGGCGGAGGGGAGACTGGGCGGAGGTTCCCCTAGGCCGGTGGGGCGCGCTGGAGGGGGCGGGGAGGGGGGCGGGGAGGGGGGCGCGGTGCGGCGCGGTAGCAATAATCGAAGCGGAAGGGGCACTGGGCGGAGGTGCCACTGGGCCTCTGGGGAACGCTGGGGAGAAAAAGGGGGGGTGCGGCGCGACGCGGAATAAAATGGTCGCGGCGGAGGTGGCACTGGGCGGAAGTTCCACTGGGCCGCTGGGGTTGGGGAGGGGCGGGGGGGGGCGGGGAGGGGGAGGGCGGGCGCGGTGCGACGCGGAATAAAATGGTCGGGACGGAAGGGGCGCTGGGCGGAAGTTCCACTGGGCCTCTGGGGAGCGCTGGGGAAAGAGAGGAGGGGGGTGCGGTGCGACGCGGAATACAATTATCAAGACGGAGAGGGGGCGGGCAGGGACGGGGCTGGGGAACCGTGGGAGGAGGGCGGTTAAAGGGAGCGGGCGCGGTGCGACGCGGAATGAAATGGTCGGGGCGGAGGGGGCAGTTGGCGGAGATTCGTTCCACTGAGCCACTGGGGAACGCTGGGGAGGAGCAGGAGGGGGCGGGGCGGGCAAGGGGAGGGCAGAGGAGGGTGGGGGGGCGGCGGGACGACGGGCGGGCGCTGTGCGACGCGGAATGAACTGGCGGGGGCGGAGGGGGCACTGGGCAGAGGTTCCACTGGGCCACTGGGGAACGCTGGGGGGGGGGGAGGAGGGGGGCGGGGCAGCAGGGGGTGCGGTGCGACGCGGGAGAAAATGGTCGGAGCTATGGACACCCTGCGCAATATTATACATTGCAAACACGTCTCCAGCGAGAGCGCGACTCCAGAGCCCCGGGGAAAACGTCTCCTGAACAAAAGCGTAAGGAAGTCCCAAGCGACAGCGCGATTCTAAAGGAAAAATGCGAGAGCGCGATTCGTAGTAACATACGAGAAAATCTCAGGCGGGACTGGGGACTGATTAAATTGTGAGGAAGGCTCAGGCGGGAACCTTTGTGCTTTTAACCCGGGGGCCAACAACGCAGTTTGGGCCTAGTGGTTTTCCCATTGATATGTATGTATAAAGGGTGCGAGCCCCGGGGGAAACACCTCAATTGAAAAAGCACACTGGTCACCGGAGGGGGGATCAACAAAACTTATTCTTCAATAGCGATAGGTCAACAACAACAGCACCAACATCACCAACATCACCAACAACAACATTCATTTTAAGACTGTTCGCTCTTACTGGCACGCGAGTCTTGCATTCCGTATACCCCAACACTCGATACCCGCCCACTTCGTCTTCGATTGTACCCCCTTTCAGGGGGGAATCTCTTGTTGTTCGGCCACTGACTGACTTGCGAAGAAGTCTCGAGCGAGAGCACCGTTCCTGAGTTCGGGGGCCTCTCTGGCCAGGGGCTCTCGGAACACCTATGGAGAAATATCGAACGGGAGCCCTTGTCGCCGTGTCCGGGCCTCCACCAATTTGCCTGAATTACGGAAAAGTCTTGAGCGAGAGCGCCGTTCCTGAGTTCGGGGGCCTTCTTAGCCAGGGGCTCTCGGAGTGAATCGTGAGGAAGTATCGAGCAGGAGCCCGTAATTTAATTGCGAGGAAGTCTCGAGCGAGAGCGCCGTTCCTGAGTTCGGGGGCCTCTCTGGCCAGGGTGTCTCAGGGTAAATTGTGAGGAAGTGTCGTGCGGGAGCGCTGTTGTCGTAGCTGGGTCTCCAAGGGCCCACATTTCGGCTCAAGCCAACGCTCGAGCAGGAGCCTCGTTTTCAGAGAAGATGTAGCTGGCGTCGAGGCGAGAGCGCGCGGAACCGTTTCCGGAGATCAGCAATAATTATTCTGTAGAAATGAATGCTCAACTCTTGAACCCTCGAGACACGGTCTCCCCCTGGCAACCAGACATCCGACGATCTGGTTTTTCAACGCGCGGCCCCACAAGTCCCGCCCCCTTCCCTGGGGTCGGTCTTGCCCCCCAAATGCATGGTTGATGGCCCTGGGGCCGGACAACGGGCCCCAGAGGCCGAAATCAACGAAAAACGCTCGCATTGAAAAATAATACCGTCGGAGATCTGGGGGCACCTCCGAAGACCCCCCCCGGACGATAACCCCCCCCTGGCCGCCAGTCCCTTAAGAAGAAACTGCTGGGAGGTCTTCGTAAGACTAGGCCAGATCAGGCCAGATTCAGCCAGGGATCGAGCCGAGTTGAATTTGATTAACCTGGATTGCGCGGGATAGTGCTGGATTCGGCTGTTTTCGACCACGGATGTACCAGCGACGACGCAACTTTTAACATCCCAAGAGTTGTTTCCATCATCTCCCTCCCCTTTCGCGGGCCCCCCGAGGCGACCAGCAGGTTCGGGGCCCACAGGTCGCCGTGCTCCACCTCGCGGGCGCCCAGGCACTCGAGAAGCTCCAGGGCGGCCTCAAGGACGTC